CTGCTGATCCCGAGAGTGTCCGGCAGTGATGGCAATGCGGCGGTCCGTCAGTACATCACTGACACGATGCGAGCGCTGGATTGGGAACTGGATTTCGATGAGTTCACGGATCAGACGCCTTATGGCCACAAGTCCTTCACGAATATCATCGCAACGCTGAACCCGAAGGCATGCAAACGACTGGTCCTGTCGTGTCATTACGACTCGAAACTGTCGGCCAGTGGCATCTTCGTGGGCGCCACCGACTCAGCCGTTCCCTGCGCTATGATCTTACAAATTGCCAAAAGTCTGGACACATATCTTAAAGCTCACAGACATTCGGTATACGCGATGAGTTGATTGCAATGGTTGTGTGTCTTATAATTGTGTTGATTATATGCCTTAGTCTTCGAGCGACACAACACTTCAGTTGATATTCTTCGACGGCGAGGAAGCGTTCGTCAACTGGAGTGAAGAGGACTCTCTGTACGGCTCCAGACATTTGGCGCACTCGTGGAATAGGAAGCGATTCATGACTACCGACGAGGAGAACCGTCTTTGCGGCCATTTGTCTGAAATGGAGTCAGAGATCGATCGCATGGAAGCCATGGTTCTGTTGGATCTGTTGGGCGCAGAGGATCCCAACTTTTACAGCCATTTCTCGGACACTCATCCCCTGTACTCAAGAATCGTGAAAATCGAGCAAAAGCTCAATAAACTAAATCTTATGGAATCCAAGACTAAGTACTTCCATAACTCCAAGTCGTGGTTCGGTGGCATCGAAGACGATCACATACCGTTCCTTAACAAAGGAGTCCCTATACTGCACGTCATTCCCACGCCATTCCCAGAGGTATGGCATAAAGACAGCGACAATCGCCAGAATATTCACAGTCCCACCACTAATAACTTGCTGAAGATATTCAAGATATTTGTCGTGCAATACCTGCATCTAGATATCGATCTGCACCACAGCGACAAACTCTGATGTTTTTAAATAGTTTATTAAATATCGATCAGAATATTCTGCAATGATGTGATAGTTGTTTTTACCCTGTTTAATAATAATACAATTTTATTTATTATGATTGAAAGTGTTTTGTACTTTTAAAAGAACCAGTATTTTAAGAAAAATAAAGTTTTTTATTTAAAGACTAAATTTATAAATGAATTAATTTATTATCGGAAATTATAGTTTTAATTATATTACGGTACTAAATTTAAAATGAATTACCCAATGACAAAAGGAACTAGATAACGATATATTTTAGACTTAATATTTTGAAAATTCCATTTATCTAATACTGTACCGGTACTACCTATTCCTGATAAATTGATAAAATTTTATTGATCTTGAAGCTATATTATTAGGTGGACATTAAATTAAATTTAATAATTGAGACAAGTTAGATTAACAAAAATGAAAATTATGTAATTTATATTTAAAAGGAAATGTAAATAGAAATTCAAAGTCAACTCAGGTTTCAAATTCTTATCAAACTTTTAATATGCTCATACAGTACTGTATAATATTTAATTATGAAACTTTTATTAACCTAATTTGTTTTATCAGTACATATGTACAGTAATTTGATTTTCACATGTAAAAATATGGATTAAAAATTTTTTCATTTAAAAAATACTTTAGTAAGTTATGTTACTTTTGGTTAAACTTCATAATACTGTACAAATTGTATCGCATGTCTAATAATTGACTTAATTAAATTACCTGTATTACTATTTGATTTAGGTAAAGAATTTTCATATTATGGTAAAATTATTTTTAAAATTATTTTTCTTTAAGAAATACTTTACTATAATTGCAACATGATACATTTAGTGCGTACAGTACAAATCATTAGGTAGATAGCCAACACTAAATCTAATAACTTGATAAGAATACAAAATTATTACAAAGAATATTACAGTTATGCCCTCGAGAAACTATATTACAAAGTCTATATTTCAATATTTTACTCTATAAAGTAACCCTTTGATAATAAAACTATGTTTTTAATTGACAAAATATCATATAATTAGTATCTTACAGTTTATATAAGTGGCATTAAGTAATCACATGTAATCATTATTTTTTACTCACATGCGGTTTGACATTACCAAATTGGTATTAGGGTAACATAACATAAATTCTTGTGAAATACTGCGATAATGTCTGTCGCATATATTCACTCAATGCACCCAAAGGCCCTCGAATATGTCCTGATGTTTTTAACGTGTATGATGTGTTTATCTA